GATGATTTGGGATACGTGGAGGCAAAATTAGTGAAAGTTCAAGAACATTTGGGGTCTATAAATAAGGATATGCAGACGAAGAAGAAATGGATGGACATGCTTATCAAATTACAAGAAGACAACTTGAAAAAGACGAATCATCTTGATTCATATTCAGGTTTGGGAAGAAATTCAGGAATTCGAAGCAACCAAACTGGGGTATACAATAATCCAGATCTAGTAGAGAAAAAGAAGAATGGAGAAAATTCAGAAAAGGAAAACATAAGAGAAATCAGAGGCAAGAAGGATGAGTATCGTTCATATGAGGTTATGGGTACATTTTTTTTTTCAAATATTAATTTCCTTGGCGACTTTAAGTATGACGTGGGCGTCCAAATGGGTAATATTTCCATGTCAGACCTCTGCTAGTCATTTCAAAAGCAAACCAATAAAGGTTGCAATCTTTTGAGATGATTGTAGTAGTTTATGCATGCGATCTATAGCAATTTTAATAGGGCATGTACAAAACCATACACTTTGAAAAGTTGTTTTTTTTTCTCATTTCCCTTGATAACAATGTATCTTTTGTTAGACTTCCTAATCCCCACTATAACGAACCGCTTCTCTTATCACAATCACTTTTGTCCATAAGGTCTTTGCCCGAAAACTCTTGCCAATATTTTGATGATCTTAATATCCAATATAAATGAAAGCACTTATTGGATGCACCCTGATACGGGGAACGAGATGATGTTTGAAAGAGACCCATGAATTCTCTCGAGAAATCTGCAATGCACAAACTCAACGAGTGAATTACGTAATCAAAGTTAATATGAAAAAAGTATTCATTATTGAACAACCATAAATTTTGAAGTATGAAGTAGAAACTAGTTTTACATCAATTACTGTTTACAACCCAATTCAAAGAAAGCTAAGTATATATTCAGACATTTACATAACTTTACTTTTCAATCGACATTAATGGTTATTAATTCAGACTTAAACATGGTCTTTTAGGTAGCATTTGGTATGCAAACAAGATTGTATTGGACAAGACTAGACAAAATTGGACAGGACAAGAGGGCAGAACTGAACGGGATATGACACGTGTATGTCTAGTGTTTGGTACAACTAGGAATGGATAAGACATAACTATACAAGTTGTTCCTAAAAGTTATTTGATGATATATACAGGGTTGAGTTCAAGTGAGACCAAGGGTCTTTCATGAGACCCGTAAGACCAATTTATGTTCATTGATCAACTTTATAAACTAATGATCTGATGGTCTAAAGTTGCACGGTGGTAATTTTATGATTATTTAGAAGTCTCGTGGCAATTTTGTGATTATGAATGTTTAGATTGTAGATCTAATCCAATGATTGAAAATTGGTCTTACGGGTCTCACGAAAAACTCTGGGTCTCACATGATCCCAAGTCTATATATATATATACCATATAATAGTTATAAATGACAAAAAATAAAGTAAGTAATTTAAGAATTTAACTTATAAACATTTTGACATAATTTTTTTATACATGTATAATAGTACCAAATTTGAATAAATTTTTTGATATAATTGATGGTAGTTCAAAAAACCTCGATTCGTACAAAGGTAAAACTATTTTTTATTTGGTTTGAAAGACTCTTATCAATTGTGGAAACACAGTGAAAGATTGTTGCAGCAACAATGCGTGTGGAGGTAGAGGCAGTGGCACTTGGTGGATTATGGTGGCTATGGAGGACATAAAGATGGTGGGTGGTGGATAGTAGTGGTGGATGAGATAGTTGTAACCAATATGGTGGAGATAGTGGTAGCAATAAACAATGGTGGTGGTGGTGGTTATGGTGGAGGGGATGTGGTGGCCGACGTTGATTGTGGAGGTAGAGGCAGTGGTGGTTGGTGGATAACGATGATTACATAGGACGTGGAGATGGTGGATAGTGGTAGGGGTGAGCAGCAGAACAGGGTACCCGGCTGCGGAACAAGAACCGCCTTGGAACCGCAGGTTCCGGAACCAATATGAGTGGTTTCGGTTCCTAAAATACGGAACCGATTGAGAATGGTTCCGGTTTCGGTTCTCAATTTCTCGTAACCGTTACCCGCCGGGACCGGGTACCCGGTATTTTTCAATAAAAAAATAATTATTTTTTTTTGATATTTTTCAATAAAAAAATAATTCTTATTTTTTTATACCAAATTTATATTAGGTATTTAAGTTTACATCTTGATTCTTGACCACACGCCGTCATGTTCATTAACTTCATTCTTCTTCTACATTCAGCATCTTCATTATTCTTCTTCTACATTCAGCATCTTCATTCTTCATCTAATACCATCTTCATTGAGTTCATTCTTCATCTTCATCTAAACACCCTAGAAGGCACGCCGGTCGCCGTACACGAAGCATGTCGGTCGCCGACTCGCCCCTCCTTCCCTACGAGGCTACGACCTGTCCGATTCCATACGAGTTCCGACCTGTCCGATTACATACGATCTGTCCGATTCTCCCTCTATCAGCACTCACTTCTCAACTATTTCTTCTGTTAATCTATACAAAAATGTCACACCCAATCTTACTTTTGTCTCATGTTGTCACATCTCATTTTTCTCCCATGACACACCAAACATGAGACTATTTGTTTGTGTCCCGTCCCGTCCCGTCCCACCTAGTTTGCATACCAAACGCACCCTTTGTCCCAATTCTTGTCCTTGTCCCATATCGCGCCAAATATGGAACAATGAGTTCCTGTCCCGTCCCGTTACTCGCCAAACATGGAACAATATGTTTTGCCTCATTTTGTCTTGTCCCATGTACCAAACGCAACTTTAAGTTTACAATTGTTTCTCAGATTTTAGTTTCTAAAGAATTAAAAAATCTCCTTAGGTGAGATTTCATTTATCCATCAAATAATCAATTATAATTCAAACATTTTGTAAAAGATAATGTTAGGACATACTCAAAAAATTGAAGTTGTAATAAACTGGAAAGTTTAAATGCTCCAAAATTCTAATTATTTAAGAAAATAATTAGTAATATGATTAAAAAGGAAAAAATT